AAATTGTGGTTACCTCTGCCACTCTGCCAGAGAGGATTGGTGACTACAGCGGGTCGGTGCAAGAAAGTGGCCTGCTCCGGGGGCCTGTTCTAATGCCTTTTCCAGGAGTTTAGTTTGTTGGTGCGCAGCACGAAAAAAATGGGGGAAAGCGCAGCGCGGGTAGGCGAGAGAACGCCTGTGGCGAAGGCACGAGAGACGAGTCGGCAAGCAAAGCGAGTCGGGCTAGCTCTCAGGCTATCATGGAATGCATTGGCCATCCCACAGGGGGTACTTCTATTGCTATTATTCCTATTGAGTGGCCATCGATAATTTAAAACACGTAGTTTGGGTACATTGGCAAAACCCGTGACGGTTACGGATCCGTGATCGTGACGGTCAAAACTTTTAAACGTGACGTCTGTGTCCCGGGATGGCTCCGTGACGCACCCGTGACTTTCATGATGATCGTTCACTGAAATAAAGACAATTATTCTAGTACAAGTTAATTCTAGTGTAAGCTTTTTACAAATCCGCGTTTTACAAATCCACGTTTTACTAGTCCGCGTTTTACAAGTCCAGTCCAGTCTACGAAATACAGTATGTCCTATCCACTTCATTTCGTGAGGTTCAGTTATTAACTGACCGAGTTGCTGTTAATGAAGAGTCACCGCAAATGGGCCGTCCCCAAATTGACAGGGATTTCGTCTTTTATTAAATCTATTCATATCTTTTATTGTACAGATCTTACTTTTTATTGTCTACATTCAGTTTTAATAATTTTTTAATAATTTTTAATTTTTTATTATTTTATTAACATTTTTTACACGGCCCCATAAGCTATATTAGCTTTAAAACCCACCGTGTTGAAATAAAAGATGTTGTTGTTGTTGTTGTTAAGGAAAAATCCCTTTTCACTAGTCGGTGTTATGAAAGAATCGCACAAAACAATGGTGTAATAAAGGAGAACGGATGCGACGAAATTTTAATTAAGCTACTGACAAAATGCTTCGGCACAATATGACATGTGCACAGAAAGTGTCAGGAGCCCATAGAATTATTGACCTGAAAATAAATAAATAAATAAATAATTGTTTTTCCCAGTCAGTGTCAATGTGCATTACTTTAAAAAAAAACACGATAGAATTGGTTCTCCTGGTTTATCTCCACGTGTTGACCTTGGCAGTGCAAATTTAAAGGTGTTTGCCCCGCAACGCATGAGAAATTGTCGGATCTGAGAAAAGAAATCCGGTATATCCGAACAGCGGACAATGTGAATACGATAAAACTTTCCTTTCATAGTTAAGTTCAATCGATGTATGACTTCTGAAAGCATTCTCTCAAATACAGCTCAGAACAACAGCTGCTAGTCAGAAGGCAATAAAGACGTAACGAAGAAACTCTTAGGTCATATTCCCAAAATACAGCTGAAATTAAAATACGCTTGCCAGATGCCTATAGTGTTCTTTGCTTGTAAAACAAAGAGGCCAGGAAATTCCCTTCGTGTCAGTGCAGCTGCCGAATCGAAAGAACTATTGTATCATCTTTGGGGTTTTAAGAGCTTACCTGCAGTCCAGAAGGCTAATTTCAGCAGTCGCCTTATGTTGTAAGGAGTAATTTAATGATGGATTCAATTCGCAAAACATCTCAGCGGACACTCACAGTTTACGCATTGTTTTTCTCTTTATGTTTCACGGGTAGGTATTTCCGAGTTTTTGTTCTCTTATTTTTAAGCAGCATGTTTTTCTGAAGTCGTGTTTGCTTTTAGTTGCTCGTGTTGAAAACAAAGTGAACGCTTTTTCTCGAGCCAGAAAATTTGACTCGGAAAAATCGCCGTGAAAATTTCAGATAGACAAAAAACTTGAGAGGGAAATCTCTTTTGTCAGTGTTTAAGGAGACCGACCACGATTTAGTTCACAGTTCACAATAGTATCTAATCATTACTTTTTCGAGCTGGGGGCTTCACAACTTTTGTGCACGCAACGGCAATGAATCCGCTGCTGAAAGGTTTACAAGTAAAGAGTTCATTTCAGAGGCGGTATATTTGTATGGAAAGTAGCTCTCCCCCCTCCCTCCGGATTCTGGGTATACGTTAGGCTAGTTTCTGAATATTTTACGTTTAATTGACGCTATACTTATGTGACTGGTTTAAACGGCCCTTGTTTGCGGGATAAAGAAAGAAACTAACAAATAAATGGTATTTATAATCAGTTACTAAATGATTAGCCTAACTACTGTTTTATATAGCACTGATTGGCAAAAATATTTACTCAAGGGTTAATTAAAATATTTAATGAACATCTAGCTGTGGATAAAGGAAACACTTCGACTCTTCGCCGTCCTTGTGACATTGGGGACCTTAAGAAACAAGGACGGGAAGCTAGGACGGGGACGGCCTTGGACGAGCGAGACTAGGCCTGGCCCCGTCGTTCCCGCCAAATACAAAATACTTAAGAGCAAATGTCAACAAAAACCAAGTAAAATTTGAATTTGGCGGCAGAAGTAGAAAAATCGAT